GCCGCCCGCTTCGCTTCCCTTTCCCTCCCCCCGAACGGGCTGTGCACGGAACTGCACCCCCGCGGAAAGGGGGAGCTGGAGTCCTGCTCTGACAGCCCAAAGAGAGAAAGGAAAACAACAAAAAAAAGTCCTTTTCGTGTTACCTGCTATAGAACACGTTGCTTTATTTCTATTGGATCTCCAAGACATTCATTCAGTCTCCTTCCCTTCATGAATTAAAACATGCTTTGCTTCTGGCCTGGGTCGCAGTAACACCACAACAAAAGGACAGAGAGAAATGGTTTTCAGAGACATGATGTGTTACCTTTATCCCTGGATTAATCATTTGTAGAGCAGAGATAAAGAACAATCTTAACCTCACATATTTTCATTCGTATTACAGGAAGGCTCATCTAGGGGTGAAAAAAAATAGTTCACGGTAATACAGGCAGTAATTAGCAGCTCCTGCACGGGGAATTTAACACCAGCCCTGTCTTCCTGTACTCTGTAGGGACCAGAAGGAACAACTTCTCCTTTAGTGTGACACAGAGATACTGATTTTTCTTGTCTTCCTCCCCTCCCTATGTGTCTTCCTTTCAGGCAGACATGGGCAAAACTATGGACTGGACAAAGCTACAGCTGAGCACCAGGCAGGGTGCAATACAGAGAAGCCAATGAAGTGCTGGGGTGGTGCCTCTTGCAGGAATTTCTGTCCGAAAGCAGCTCAGCAGGGATGCCTCTATTACTTTAACTACTCCGTAGCAGCTGGATGTTGCCAGCTGGACTCAGGGTTACCCCAGCACACCCACCACACAATAGTCACTGCCAGACTGGTGCCCAGTGCCCTTCCCGACGGCTAATGCTGTCCTCTGAACAGAGAAGCACCCTCAAACCGAATGTGGGGCCCAACAGCCACCACTGGGACAGGCACAGGTGAAAAGGGAAACAGGGTAAGGACAAGACTGGCTCTGCTGTCCCAGACCTGTGTTCTGCCCATTACTTTTTTCCTTTGTGCTAATACTGTACAGAATTATAGAACCCCAGCCACCTTTGTGTGAATACAGCTTGTTACACCATTTTGGCATATTTTATCTCCCCAGAAAAACACACAGCCACTTCCAGCAACTATTCCTAAGTAACTTCTCTGGTCAGCAAGATTAAAAAACAAACAAACAAACAAACGAAAAAGTCTTTGGATTAAAGGTACCCTCGCTAGCCAGTGGGGAATTGGTAACAAATCAATTTGCTCTGTGTTCAGAAGCTGTGCTGTTGTAATGGTTGAGGATCACTTTTGCCAAACGGCTAGTGCTTTTCCAGCTCCTAAACTGGGTAAAACACGTCTGTCCTGTACCAGACGCATTCAACATGGATTTAAGTGAAGTTTTCTAATACTACTTTAAGATTACGTTTTGCCCAAAGCAACATTCCTGGCATGACTGCAGAGAACTTGTCTGCAGATCTCTTGTACTGATCCAGGAGCTGCCTGCATGCTGCACAGGCCACAGCACAGGGTAGTCGAACACAAGATCGCCCCGAAATTAAAACGATCACTCAGAACTTCCCTGAATGTTTAGAAGTGTTTTTGAACTGTGGCATCATGAAGAGGAACCATAGGAAATAAAAAGTGTCCCAGAAACACATGGTGTTACTAAATGTGACAGACGGATCTCCAGCATCACGGGAAACAGTATATGGCACTGGCTTCCATGCTCAGCACAGACTGAAAACTGCTGCTTTTGTGAATAAGGTACATTGGACAAACAATGCACGAGAGGAACCTGCCACAGTCCCTGCGTGTGACTGTTGGGCTCTGGCAGAATCATCCATTCTCTCCTTCTCAGCATGCTTGTCTTCCTGTTTTCCCACCTGGGATTGCTGTGATCCATAAAATTCATTGGAACATTTCCAAGTGTCTAAAAAGTTTTCTCGACTGAAAAAAAGAGAGAATAGAGAATGTTCTCACAAAATTCCTGAGGAAGTCAATCTTGTTTCAATTCCTCCTATCTTTATTTAAATTTGTTCTCATGGGGTCATTAACCCAATACTTTTCTAGCACATGGAGTTTTGGAAAGAGTCTCATCAGCAAGTGTATTACTCACCTTTCTTCTTTGTATTCTTAGTGGTAAGAAAAGGAACATAAATAAAAAGTAAAACTGACACCCCAGATGACACCCCTAGGGAAGTCTCACACCATAAGTATTCCTATTTAAGGCAGAACTGGCCCTGCTCTACGTTCACAGACAAATACAAAGATGGCCCACACTTGGTTGGCTTCAAGGGACCAATAAAAGCGGGTACGTAGGCTCTGGTGATGCAATACACACTCGTATCTGGCATATGAATCACACACTTAGCATGAATGCTGAACAATACTAAACAATTTTTCAGGAATGCTACTGAGACATTTCAATTTCCATCTCCTGAATTTTCAGGAATGATCAACTGGAAGCTGTTCAAACAAAGCCCATGAAACGTGATGCTCAACCAAGGAACCACAACCACCCGTGTAACGGGCTTCGCCCATGAAACGTGACGCTCAACCAGGGAACCACAACCACCCGTGTAACGGGCTTCACTGAGGTATCCAGCTCTGTTACAAACAAGCCGATCCTGCATGCTCTCAAGCTGAAGCACAGCCCAGCCTCTCGGGAGAGCAGCAGACAGTCATGCAGCATCAGCCTTTGCTATACAAAAAATCCCACCTGGGAAAAATCATCCTGGAGATCTGTGAAAAGAAGAAGGGAAAAAAGCAATAGGCTTGAATTCCTACCCTCTTGTACTAGCCTCCAGAGTGACCCATTGAAGGACGAGGGCAAGTTACAGCTTATTCTCATGGAAGAATAGCTAAAAAACATATTAGTTATTTTCTAGACACTCTACCAGCATGAAGGCAAGAACACCTACAAAGTGGTTCTTTGTTTTTTTTAAAGTAGGTCAGTGCAATAAGGAAGTCCCTGTGCTTTAATTCCATGTCTCTGTATTTCACAATTCCCCTTAAGATACATCTTTCTCTTCCGCCAGTAATACATCAACTTACTGATCATAAACATGTACATCTAAATTACTTTGAGAACTTACACTTTTATCAATAACATTTTATGATTTTATTTTGAAAACTGATTACCCACATAGATTCTGATTGCCAATAAAGCAATTTGAAAATCACATACCTGAGCTGATGACACACTGGTGAGATAAGTTACTAAGTGTGCTCATTTATGTCCGATTCAGCATTCTGAAACCTAACGATGACTTACTTTTAAAAGTACTGCAGAAAGTGGATGACGAATGTTCAGAAAAATCTGGTTATCAATTTAACTACTGGTAGCATACAGTCAGAAACTCTGTAAATGCTTTTTTCCCCCCCACATGTAATACTTGAAACTACTGGAGGTTTTTTTTTCTTTTTCATCACACATGCTGTTATTTTCACACTAAAGGCAAGAATTATTCCAAGAAATAAGTCTCTCAGGGATGTTTACTACAACTTAACACGAAAAACACTGTTTCCTCACTGTCAGATGGAAAAAAGAGATCCAAGCATCTACTGACTTTCTTTGCTCCAGTTCGTGCTCAGTTTTCACATTCAAGGGTAAAGTTGTGTTGTTTCCACTGCAGCCCGTGTCACTGGATCCGCTCACTCAGAACAGGCTGGGGAGTTTGGGCCCGCAACCCAACAGGAGTTGACCAAACATCAGTTTGCAAGAGATTTTTACAGCACCTAACACCAGCATGGACATTTAACAGTAACAGAAGACATCGAAACAAAGCCTATTTCTAAGCCAAACGTCTGTGAGAGACACCCGGCAGCCAGAACACCCCACCGCCCAGCACGTGGGGTCCTTGGGCCTCGCCTCATTCTAACGGAGGGTGGTCCGCTAGTAGCGTTTACATCCTGCTGTGTTTCTTCACGGTATTTTTAAAGAAAGCCCTGGGCAACAGGAATAAAAAGACTCTCATGTCCCCAAACCCGAAACCCTTATTTTAAACCTAGCAGTTTAAGGATACAAAGCGATGCCATGGAGGGAGGGGGGCCAGGACTAAAGACAGGGAGCTCGGTGCAGGACACAACAGGCCCTGCGCGCCTCAGCCGCTCCCCTCGCAGCGGGGCGACACACGCCGCGCCCTCGGGAAGCCCCGCGCTGAGCCAGGGACAGCTGCGACGCCGGGGAAGGGGCCAAACCCCCGCCGCAGCTCCTGCGCTCCGCGGC